TGGGCATGTGTGTTGTTTTAAGTAATCATAAAACAATGTCTGCACAAAAGGGCCAGTATAAAGCTGCTTTCATTAAATATTCCCTTATGCATAAACTGCGCCAGGTAATGTCTACTAATGTCTACTACTGCTAATTCCCTTTGAAAAAACTGCTGAAATTGAACTGTTTTCTGTATTTGTTGCTGGTTTTGGGAGAAAATAAGCTAAATTTCTTCATGACTATTTTTATTAGACTGGTGTTCATGTAAACTCTCATTTAAACTTTTTACCCATTTCAGTTTTGACATACTGTACTTATTTTACAAGTCTTGCTTACTTTTGCAGTTGAACGCTACCCAATGTACACAAATATAATTTAAGTATTATGTATTTATGTATCTAACTTCAGACTGCACCTTATACCCAGTATTTCGGAACAGGAGTTTGATGTAACTATGATGGTAAACTGCTGCTTTTCATCTCAAAGTTTAAATCCTTATAACTGTACATCAGAGTCAAGATTATTCAATAAAACATATCAGTCTGATTTTGGGCATATTCTTCACATCTTTTTAAAATAACTTAAAAACAAATGGCTATAATTAAATAATGTCTTTATTTTTCTATATACACATAAACAAGGAATGATTATATTTGCTTTGTTATTTCAGCTCACATTTTCCACACAAATGAATTCAATCAGCAGTATCAGGGCAAATGATCAAACTATAGACATAATTTGTGTCCTTTATCTAGCTACACCATGGTTTTCTACCTCACCAGACACACATCTTTTGAAAAAAAAGTGGTTTAAAAGGTTGTTGGCACATATCAAACTTTCTTATATTCAACTTTGCTTACAACCCTTCTCTCTGAAGAGAGACAAAAATAGTCATATATTTGGACGGTCCTGTAGTCAGTGTCTACTGATCGTGGATTGTAGCTGAAGCATCATTCACCACTTCATTGTGAGTCCGTTAGTCATCTTCTCCACACTGTGGTACTGTGTGTGCAGCAGCTCTTTGGCTCTCTCCTCCCCAACACTGTGGAGCCAGGACTGGTACAGCTCGGCCACACGAGTGTCATCCTCTGGCAATAGAGGGCGCTCTGCCTTGTAGAGCTCCTCAACCTTCTGGAGAAGCTCCTTTTGGTTCTCACCAGGTAAGGGCTTCACCTGTCCACCACCATTTAGACAGCCTGAACGTTAACAAGAGGTGAGGGGAAACGTGCTGTTTATCGCTTTAATTTGCTTGCAAACATCTGTCAGCATTAAATTAGTCAAGCAGTGCTAGTGTGACTACATCTGATAACCTAATGCACTGACTGAACACTGCATTTTGTAGCTTCCATATGTTCGAATATGTAACAAGCATATAATTTATACTTAACACTAACGCCCACAATATGCTAACATGTGATCAACGGTAATTATTTTTACATCCGCATATTTCACTCACCTGATGGACAGGCCATAACTTCCACAAAATGGTAGGGTGACTTCCCCCTCTTGAGCTTCTGCACCAGGTTCTGGATGTTGCGGAACCCGTATGTGGACGCAAAGCACAACAGGACAACTCCATCTTTCTCTATAGTCACTTCCTGGAAGTCTTTATTCCTGTGGCAGAGGGGTTGAGGTGGGAAAACGGGGTTAGACAGACATACGTTCTTATACACACGAGGTACAAGGCAATTAAACTGGGGCAAATTGTAATTTTTTTTTACACAGCCTCTCAGCCTGCACATAGAAATCCTCTAAAACAACACTAATGAGCAAGGATCCAGGTTGAGTGACATTATAATTAAGCATGATCTACAAGGAAGCTATTCTGAGAGCATTAAACTTATCTGAATGAACTGGAACTGTTCTTCAAGCTTGACTGTTCCAGATGGCATAATTAGCCTGAACCACAAATGAGCACAGAGCAGTCGAGCCTCTTGAAGATGTTGAGACAGACTCACCTGAGGGTCTTGTAGGTGAGCTCCTTCACCTCCTCTCCAAACAGCTGCTTGGCAGCATAGGTGAAGACATGATGGAGGTAACCACCTGACCCGCTCCCAGCATGGCTCAGGAACTCATGCCCACTCACACTGCTGAACCTGGGTTGACAATAATACGTAGCATGTGAGCCCATGTATTCTTCTGGAAATTCGAGCTGTGGTTTATATTAAAGAACAGGGGTGGAACAAACAAAAGACAAAATGTTGCAGAACTTACAATGTATCAAGGGGTGCAGGTTCCACATCACTAAGAGACACATTTTTCTCCTCCAGCATTTTCTGAACCTCTCCTATATGAGACAGTGAAAGGTATAAGAGAGAAGATACTCCACATTCAAACACAAAAAAGAGCATTATAAGAGCAGCTACTGTACCAGAGGTGATGACACAGTCCACTTCCCGAGTCTCAGCTTTGTTCATGAAAAAGTCCGACCTCGAGGCCTCAAGTTTCTTGTCAAAGCAGGGCATTACTGCCACATGGTAGATCTGCTGTGGACTGAGCCCCTAACAACACACAACTCTTTAATAACCATACATCTACACACATTCATAACAGTATTAGTAGTACTAACCAGCACTGGATAACACAGGAGTGACTAAATGTCTAAATCATACACAAACGATAGAAGCTCTATTTGTACTTTTATACCTTTGCAATTTTAGTAACAGTCAAAGAAACGCCACCAAGCTGCTATTAAGACGTGATGAAATGATAAAAAGTGAAATCACTTTAACCTCCGTGAGGTGGCGTGCACTGTTTGACTGCAATATCTGGTGTTCAGGTGTTCCCGTACCTGTTGTTCAGCAAAGTAGCCTTTAACCAGAGAACCCATCATCTGCTGGGGGGAGCGAGTGGTACTGATGTATGGAAGGATGAACTTCCCGTGTGTCTTCTCTGCATAGCAAATCCAACCTGAACACAACAAAAACAAATACACACAGACACGCACAGTGAGAAACGTCTTTGAAAAAACACTGCAATCACGAGAAGGAGATAAGAAAGACATTAAGTTTATTATGTTTTATTCTACTTTGACATTATATTAATCAATGGAATTTCATATTGTGAGAATCAAAATATATTTCTCTGCAATAAACACTGAAAGCTTGTACTTTCTGAAAAGTGAAATGATGATAAATACATTATGAGGGGTCAATAAAATAAACATTATTTTCCTCATTCCTTAGTAGTTACATTTTTGCTTTTGTTAGACAGTGGGCAGCACAGAGCTAACAGAAAATGATTAGTGGAATACCTGGACAGGCCGACGTCAGCATGGGCAGACATGTGCTGTCCTGCTCCTTCCTCTGGAAACGATCCACAAACTCCCTCTGACTCTCCAGCAGACTGAAGGTCCGACTAAAGCTCGTGTCAAACACATGATGAACCCCTGCAACAGTGATTATAGTATTCAGAATTGCCTGTGTCTGCCTAAGTCAACCTCTCATTTTTCAGTTTCTGTTTTACTTTGAGTTGTATCACTTAAATATTAATATTTGTTCTCACCAAGGCCTTTGAAGAAAGACGTAAGCCTCCTGCCTGCCTCAGTACTGCTGAGGTCATAGCGTGCTGCGAGGGAGGCTCTGGACTGCGGCGACACCGACACCACCACAACCTTCTGCTCTGTCGCACTGGTCTGTGGAAGGAGTCCAAATGACGCAGAGGTAAATACAGCGACACCCAAAATGATAAGTATAGCATGCAGAGGGCTGCAAAGGTAATCATGACCAGACACACAGTACACAAGCATTCAAACACGTGTTTCCATCACTACCTTGTTGTTCTGCAGCACTTTAAAAAGCTCCTCGTGGCTCTGCTGCGTGATGAGGACGCTCTCAGCCGAGGTGATGCAGCCACTGCAGGCCAAACAGTCATTCAGTGTGATCTTTGCTTTCTCCAGCTTCTGCTTCCCGCCATCCTACAAACACAAGGAGAATTAATTCAAGGCAAATAGTAGTGCAATGATTCACGTTTAATAATTCACATTCAGGTTTTGATTCAGCCTCAAGACCCACCTGGTTGACTTGGACATAGCTGCCATCATCTTCTATTTGAATTTTGGCCACAGATTTTCCTTGTTTCTTCTCTACTTTGACAGGTTTGACACATTCCTGCGAAACAGAAACCACACATGTAAACAAAGCTACAAAGTACTAATAGGAGACAATTTAGATCGGCCAATATTTGTTTCTACTGGACTACATATCTTATTCGTAAATAAGAAGCATTCACCGGATATCAGTGGCTGAATCAATTTTGCAGATACTGGAGACATATTCACAGAGATGCTTATCTTTGTAGATTTATTTGTTTTCATTTATTTCGTTTTTTATGGGCCAATAATAACAAATAAGGGCCAATAAATAACAAAAAACTAAAAAAACATAGATAGCAGATATGAGCAAAATGTTTATTTTACACACAGTATGGGTATCGGCTCAGAATTTCCCATTTGGTGCATCTAATTCCCTATTAGTGTTCAAAAGATAAAACACAGAAATCTATAGCAGCATCCGAGGGCACCTGACAGAACTGAGTAAGAACAACAAAGGAAAAAAAATAAGCCAAATATGAAGTAAATAAATAATAAATAAATAACACACAAGACAAAAGAACAACACTATAAGAGGTCAACACCAGGAGTTTTAAATAGACCAAGGTTTCTAGCCTGTTTTATTCATTTGTTCTCATTGACTTACTACATGACCAGTAAGAAATGAGCACATGGCAGGTTATAAATCTAAATATTATGAGAAATTAACAACTGAGCTGTTGCATGTACAGGTTTGACCTGTTCTCGTTTTCTTTTCTTTTTTTTCTCTTTTCTTTTTT